TATATATATATTTGTGTGTGTGTATGTATGTACTGCGTTTGGAGTTCTACATTTTTGTTAGTCTGTTGTACGTAGGACCCAAGGATGCAGATCAACACAAACTGATGAAGAAAATAAAGATTTAAACAAATGAAAAAAAAAACCTGTAAAATACAAAGCTGCAGTAGCAACACAAGGAACATAAGGGAAACTAGACAGGGCATGAAACCGCAATGACAGTCTCAAGATTAGTGAGAAGTGGGAAGATACATCAGCGGGGGCTGAAGAGGTGAGTTGCTGCAGCTGTAACTAACGAGGATATGGAACAGGGATGAGTAGAGAGGCAGGACTCAAGAACAGGCAGACTGAGGAAAGAAGCTAAATGTCAAAGAAACACAAGGAAACAAAAGTGAATACAAGAGATCGCACAATCGACATTAAAGAAACACAGAAAATACACTTGATAATAAAAATAATACATCCAAACCCAAAGTTTACAAATAGAGAACCTGACAATTTTGCCTATTTCAGAATAATAAAGTTAATAACTTTAAATGATAATTGTTTTTTGACACTTTCAAACCGATTCAGAATCATTCAGATATGTAACTGTCTAACTTTCACCTCTTCTCATACCACAGTTTTATAGCTGATTTTTTTTCCATGTGAAAAATGCTACTGAAACTTTCTGCAATAAACTGCTTAATTTATCTACAGACTATGATGTGTTTATGACCTCTAAATTCAATTCAGTTTATTTATATAGCGCCATATCACAACAAAGTTGACTCAGGGCACTTTACAGAAACATTCACATAAAAGGCAATTAGTAAAGTTCTCTATCTAAGGAATCCAGCAGACAAGTTGAATCTTGGCTTCGTTGCTGTCTCCCATCCTGAGCAAGCACCTCTTCCGAATACAAACGTACAGCAGAGGAGCAAATTAATGGAATAATGTAAATGACCACGGGCGGCAGAGTGGCTCAGTTGGTAGAGCTGTTGCATCTCAACGAGAAGGTCGCCGGTTCAAATCTCAGCTCGGGACCTTTCTGGGTGGAGTTTGTATGTTCTCTCCGTGCTGCGTGGGTTTTCTCTGGGTACTCCAGTTTCCTACCACAAACCAAAAACATGCATGTTAGGCTGACTGGTAACTCTAAACTGTCCCTAGGTGAGAGAGAGAGTGAATGGTTGTTTGTCTCGTTTGTCTCTCTGTGTCCCTTTGATGGACTGGAGACCTGTCCAGGTGTCCCTGTGATAGACTGGAGACCTGTCCAGAGTGTCCCTGTGATAGACTAGAGACCTGTTCAGGTGTCCCTGTGATGGACTGGAGACCTGTTCAGGTGTCCCTGTTATGGACTGGAGACCTGTCCAGGGTGTCCTCCACCTCTCACACAGTGATAGCTGAATATGGGCACCAGTGATCCCCGCAACCTGAAAAGGAAGAATTGGGTAAAGACAATGGATGGATGTAAATGACCACAGTTCAATGACAGAAAACAAGGCCTTTATTTACAGTACCTGTAATTATCCTCCACTCAACTCTCCACCTTCGTGTTCTCCTTTATAAATCTCAATCATACCTTTGCACTTTGTATATAGACTCCTGCTTTTTTGGCATCTTTTGTTCATAGTTTATTTCACTGCAGGCTGTGATTAGCGTAGGGAATTGTAATAAACAAACTTTATCTTGTTTTACCAAAGAATTAAAAAAAACTTTTAAATTAACTTTGTTTTCTCTTTGTGCCTTCTCTTAGGGGAAGTCTCCACAAAGCCCTACTGTAACGGACATGGCAACTGGAGTACTGAGACTTGTAGTTGCTTATGTGAACCTGGATGGAAGGGTCCAAACTGCACAGAACCCGAGTGCCCCAGTGACTGCCAGGACCAGGGTCGCTGCGTGGATGGGAGGTGTGAATGCTTTGAGGGTTTTGGCGGGGATGACTGCGGTATTGAGATGTGCCTGTTAGACTGTGGTGACTACGGCCACTGTGTTGAAGGATCCTGTCTCTGTGAGGACGGCTTCATCGGCATGGATTGTTCCAAGACCAACTGCTTGAACAACTGCCTTGGTCGTGGCCGTTGTGTGGAAGATGAGTGTGTTTGCGATGAGCCGTGGACGGGCTTCGACTGCTCTGAGCTCATCTGCCCTAATGACTGCTTTGATCAAGGGCGCTGTGTCAACGGTACATGCTACTGTGAAGAAGGCTTCACCGGGGAGGATTGTGGTGAGCTCAGTTGTTCTGACAACTGCAACAATCATGGCAAATGTGTGAACGGCCAGTGCGTGTGTGAGATCGACTACAGTGGAGAGGATTGTTCAAAGCTCACATGCCCCAAGAACTGCCACGAGAGAGGCCACTGCTTCAATGGGAAGTGCATTTGTGATCC